ACTCCGAGAGAGGCGTTCAGCGGTATAATGAGATGGATATTGACATGTGATAGGTAGCCATATAGCTGTTTCCTTATTTATTTTAACCGCGGGAGGTACAGTGAAGCGCGTCCATCATAGTAAATGAAGTTACAGCGACTCAAATTGGATTGGGTTGCTCCCCCGCCTTCTAAATTTATCCACTGCTTGGTTGACAGATCACCAGAGCTGTCCAGCGAAGACGCTACGTGTGACTTGTTTACCAGCTCTGGCTTGCCTCTTTGAAAATAAGTCATCATCTGAATGTGAGAGATGATGAAAACATCACACCCTCTGTGTTGGAACAAATTTGCACAGACATACCATCATTGATTCCCCCAGCGTGGTGTGTCTACAACCCTTGTGATTAGACTCCATGCCAACTGGGCCGGCTATGGGGGACCAGAGCCACCGGTGCTGTCCAGTCACAAAATCCATACAGGCAAATCACAAGAAGTCTCAATTAAATGAAACTGAAATCCAGAGAGCTGTGTGGAGTAGTTGATATTAAAATGTATGTGAAGGCTGAACCGACCATAGGAATCTGAACACAGTGATGCTACAACATGATGTAAAAGTCTTGAGCCAACGCTCATTTCTTTATATTTTGTTTCTAAGAATTCAGACTTTCTTCTGATGTTTTAAAGTGCTCTTGAACAACAGTTCTCCAGGTTTTCTTTGGACATTGCCTGGTTTTCCACTCATTTTCCATCCACTCCTTGTACCTGACCATTTTCAGAGGAGAGTTTTTTGTTTGTTAAGCCACTTAAAACTGACCTATGACCCATTAAAACATAAAACAAAGCACCGAACTAAAGAGACAAACCAGCGTTGTGTCTACGCACAACACACAGCTTAGCAAAAAATCAATTTTAAACTGTAACTTTAGACTCTTTGTTGTTACTTGACTTTCCTGAAAGTCTAAAAGTAAAATCATACCTGGATCCTGGATAGAAAAACACACAGTGGAGCACTATCAGTCATGGATCGGCCTCCCCAGAGCCCGGACCTCAACATTATTGAAGCAGTGTGAGATCATGTTGACAGAGAACAGAACAAAAGGCAGAAACATCCAAAGAAAAGCTTTGAATGTCCTTCAAGAAGCCTGGAGAACTATTCCTGAAGACGACTTAAAGAAAGCTGCCTAAGAGAGTTCAGACTGTGCTGAAGAATAAAGGTGGTCACACCAAATCATGACTTTCAAGCTCATTAAAATTGTATTTACATATATGTTTGCACATGTTTCAATACACTGCTGTGCCATTTCCATAGCAGAATTAGGAATGGCTCACGACTTTGCACAGTACTGTACCGTAATCTGACATCCATACTATATTTTGTGTTTAACTCGGTTAATTAACAGAGTAAATAGCAGAGGGGGCACCTTTATTTGTCTTGTGATATCTTTGAATTTTGAGATGGAGCATTCCGATCCATATTTACAGTTTAGGTCCAAACCTCTGGAAACTTGAAAAAAAAAAACCCTCCAAAAACAGCGGCTACATGGCTTACTCATTACCAATGTATTAAGAAACATGTCTTAAGCTGTTTTCCCACATTAACTTCAAACAATTTTAGAAGAATTAGTTTGGGATCATTTTGATCCTTTCTCATGCGCAGCACACAGCAGGAAATAGTCTGCCTCGGATGCGTTCACACTGTTGGAAATACTCTGTGTGGTTTAGGCGATAGAGCTGCTCGGGTACAGCGTGTATAGGAGGCAGGACACATGATGAGCAGTGGATTCATCAAACAGACATTACAAAGACGCTGCACTATGGAGCTGCCTGCTTAAAGACCCCTTTCGGGTAATGTCTAGAAAACTTTGGAGCTGCAGTGTCAATCAGCTGACTGTTTGGGAAGCTGTAGAAGGCTGCAGGAGAAGGAGCTCACCTGTCAATCATCTGTGCTGACGCTGTATAGTGTCTGGAGCTAGCTTGGTCCTTCTCCAGTGAATATGTACCTATTTTATGAACCATTTAATAGTTATTAAACCAAGATAACACCCCCATTTTCACTCTGTTTATATTTATAATGGCACTAAGTTAATATTATGACTTGACCAATCACTTCAACTATAATTGAATTGCCTCTCTTTAACTATTTGTCTAATTGACTAATTGTTGGGAGTGTCTATCATTGCACACCTGAATAGACAAACAGAGAAAAATCAATGTGGCAACCTCTTTTTATCACCCCCCCTCTCTACTCTGTAAATTGTTAAGAAAAATTTACATTAAAATGATTTAATGACAGTGCCACAACTTCCATATAGCACCATTAAAAACACACTTCCTCCCTTCCCCCTTGGAGCCTATCAGTGTCACGTAAGGTGCTTTAACATAAAAGCAGTGAAAAAAGAACATCTGTCTTGTTATTCAAACCGGGAAGGTAGAATGATAAACGGGGAAAATGTCGACTTAAGATGACAAAGGGAGCCACAAAAGCTGAAGAAAGAGGAGAAGAGCGACGTGGAGTGAAACAAAGAGTAGATGAAGACAGAAGACAGGGATGGGGGAGGTACAGTGGAGCGACCCTCTTCAGAAAAAGACAGCAGTGCCACGGGCTCCCCCATTCACTGAGCCATTATCCTGACAAGTTTAAAGATGTCATTACTCAAATCCTCTTTTTCTTAGTTGTTATTTCCATAAATTACCGACGGAGAAAAGGCAACGATTTAATCTGGAATTAGACGGGCTGAGTTGAAATGACAGTGCCCTGTAGAGCTTTTTGTGAATAGGCTTATGGGAGATAAGGAATGGTACAATTAGATTTTGGGTAGGGTAAAACACGATGACTGTTGGGTTATTCTGCCTTCGCTCTCTCGCTCTTTCTCCTGTTTCTCATCATTTTCCCTCTCTGGCTCTCTCCTCCTCTCATTCTGTCTCGGTCTTTTAGCCAGTACGCTGTCTCTCTCTGCATGTTTGCCTCTCTATCGGGCTCATATTCTGTCACTCTGCTCTTTTGCCACTTTTAGTTTTTTTAAAAGGGGGTCTTGGTATATGTATATATATTTTTTTATATTCCTGGACTCTGATTTTGTTCTGATTGGCTGCCTTTTGTAAACAGAAAGCTTGAACAACAGTGAGGCGGGGCTTGTGTGCCTGACGTGACCATATTAGGAGCATCAGCTCTAAGTGACATCATACAAAGGAAAAAGTAGAAAAAACTGTCTGAAAAGGAGCATTTAGAGTAGAAACATGATCAGGTAGAAATGGAGGTTAAAAGATGGACTCCTCATCACTGCGTTTGTTAGCTTTGTGTTAGCATGCTTGTCTTTGCAGATGCTAGCAAAGAGCTGAAGTTGTGTTAGGAGTATAGCGCGCTTGCTTCTATCCTGGTTACCATCATGCTCTTGTCCTCTTGTGCGATAAAAATTAAATTACGGCCCATATGCCCCCCCACACACACACACACACACACTCACACACTCACACAAAAGAAGTGGGATCAGCTGATTATAGCCCAAATAGTCCAAAGTCAGACTATTTTCTTTTCTTTGTATTCGCCTGGTGTGCAAATAACCGAAGAACCTTTGTAACACAAGTAGTGACATGATTTCAGTAATAACTCAACCATATATTTTTGATGTAAGGCTATCTCTGTTATGATTTATTGTGAGAATGATGGCACCTCATTTGGCCTTTACGACCACAAATAGGCTCTTTCCACTCTTATTCTTTTAAAATATTACAATGTGTCTTTGGATATGTGAGAATATTTTTTCAATCAACTACAAAACTAATTTAAAGTGCCTTTTTTTAAAAAACTGCCAGGCACTGTGTTAGAAATGATTAAGCCTTTTATGAAAAAAGGCTTCATCCCATGCTTTCCCATCATCCTCACGTCTCTTACTAACGCACTTCAATTCTCCATTACTTCCTCCATATTTCATCTTTGTCTCTTCCCCTCGCTCATCTCCGAGCCAGCAGTGCTGGTTGCGGGGCTGGCGCCTATAAAGCCGCCTCTCCGAGAGCCTCTGTAATGACCTCTGAGACCCAAATGCCCTGCTTCAGCGTCAGCTAATGGAGGGAATGTAATTAACTTCACCACTGGCACCTGAGAGGCTGGAGAGAACGGGCGCATGGGTGCGTGTGTTTGAGCATTCGGAAGTAACAGATTACGCCTAATGGGATTACGGTGACTCAGGAAACACCCAGTTATCAGATTATGGATGAGAAATATGTGAGCGCTCATTTGATTATTTTAAAATAAAAAAGCATTTTTAAAGATGGAGGGAGGAGGGGGTGGAGTATTTTGATTTTATGCATTTCTTCCCTGAAATGAAAAGGGAGAAGTGCCGGTTAATGGTGGATTTTATTAAATCATTCGCAATAAATAATTGTTTTAAACAGCAGCGCCCAACTGTCCACAATCCTGATTCTTTAAATCATAACAATAATCCACTTAGCTCAATAATCTACATTATACAGGCAAAGTAATCCAAAAGTAACAGAAGGTAATCAGATTATGCTGCTGGGTTCAGGCTAATCCAGTGGATTAGGTTACTGATGGACGTTTAAAACTGTCAATCAGTCGGACTGTGTGTTTAGTAGCATTTCCAGTCCGGTGTCTGTTTGCAGAGGCGAGTGGGTACCTGCTCTACTTCACTGTTTGGGCATCTTGAGAGAGAGCGGAGGAGGGTGGATTTTTTTTATAACGGGGG